TTGTTAAAAACCGTAAAACCGATTGCTTTGATACTATTCATATTGTTCATTTTCTAATGATTTCTTCAGTTCTTTAATTGAAATGTGCATTGCTAACAGCGGAGCTATCTCAGCCGATAGGCTGCTTGTTTATTCAATGATCTGAACAGGAAGTTGCAAAAGAAGTGACCCCCAAGTGTCTATAAATTCTGGCCATAGAGGGCATACTTCAATTAAAATGTAAATCATGAAGGGTTGATGATTTTTAATGCGGGTTAATCAGAAAAAAAAACAAAAACAATTTTCTTAATTGACTCCTGTGTGCGAAGCATATAGGAATCTTTGCAGTTAGTGCGTGCGTGTATGTATGTATATATATATATATATGTATGTATGTATGTATGTATGTATGTATGTATGTATGTATGTATGTGTGTATGTATGTATGTATAACAGTATGTATGTCTGTTCCACTGATATTTCAGGAACCAATTATAAGATTTTTTGCTTACTAATTACCCAATTTGCATGAATTAACCAATAACAGATAACTTGATAACCTATCTAATTTTAATGAAACTAGGTACATGTTTTTGGATAATCCACAGATCAGATTGACATGCATGCATATTAATTACCTTGTATAAATGGGGTCATGTAACCTCAATAATATGCATAACTGTAATATCATGTCATCATATACGGTCATGATTTCATTACAAATTATAATTGTTATACCATAGCCACTTGGAGACGCCCTGATCACTGCTTTGCTTGCTGTAAAGTACTGGTCGAAATAAAAATATATTTCAATGATTTTGCATGCAATAAATACAATTTTTGCTTTGTGTATTGAGATGTGCTTCTAATATAGTTAATACAGTATTGCTTATTTGTCCTTTATGATACCTTCAGCACACGGGAGCTCTTTCTAAGCTTTCTTTGACTCACTATTAAAATGAAGTTACTAAAAAGAAATTTGATGATTACAGTGTGAATTATTTGCATGCTGTTCTTCTGTTCCCCATTTGTAAGACTAATAACCATTTCTATCAGAGAAACCTTTCTCAAGATTGCCTGTGTTGAATGAAGATGAATTGATTTCACAATTGACTGTTGAATTTCGACCTCAAATTTACAGCAACCCATTTAATTGCTAATAAAGGTGTATTGACCACGTCATGGTTTTTAAATTAACACCACTTCATAAGAAAGTGCAGTTTAATTGGTTGAATTGATGGATAGATGCAAATATTGTGGGTGACATGTTTGTTTAGTGTCAATGTCACTGTCATATAAAATTAACCAAACTTATGGGAATAATAATACCTGCTTGGAAAATTTGATATCAATATGCAAACATTGGTTGTGTATTAATAGTGTGATACTGTAAAATACTTTATTTTCTCTTGGAATTAATTTTCACTGAAGGAATGATTCAGTGAAAATAAAATCAAAAACAAGCGAATGTTCTTTAAATCCTATATTTTACATTTAACTCATCAAAAATCAGTGAAAATAAAATCATACAAAACGCCCAACTAGTCTTTTCAGCGAAAATTAATTCCAGCTAAAATAAAGTATTCCACAGTAATAGCAATAAATTTACATATATTGTGATTTCATGTAGTCAAAATATATTTACAGTCTATATTTGTATAAAATAAGGGTGTGTGTGGCGATATACTATGATAAAAATTATATTCATCTGTACCTATTTCAAACCACAAAACTAAATTCAGTGAATGCTTTGATAGGTTCAATTGCCTAAACAGAAATTAGCAAGTTTATCAGCGTAATAAAAAAAAAAAACGATTGAGATGAGCTCTGACCAGTTGTTTCACAGACTTGCTCTTTTGCATTAATATTTCTCGAAACGTATGTTTGTCATGCGATTTTGTAATCATCTTACTATCGCGTGACTCATCTTCATTTTGTTCAAGATCTTCATCACCTATCCCATCACTTACGTCATCCTCAATGTTGAATGATGGCTGATCACTTTTGATAATTTTTGAGTGTAAATTTTGTGTGCAGACATATCCATGTGACATATATCTCTGTCTGGTATTAGTTTATTTATTACTCAGATCAAGGAGAAATATAATCCTCAATTACAGAAACTCGTCAACTTGTTTTTACAGAGAGATAAAACAGAAAAAGGGCATTATGCAGAAAGAATATATCTACATACGTGTACATCAGTGTACATAATTCTTTGTTTTACAGAAACACATCATATACACATATGGAATGTTGTAGGGCTTCATTAATAAAGTAGTGCTAGTAGTATCTACATTTTTCTTCAACTATTGTAAAATACTTTATTTTAGCTGGAATTAATTTTTGCTGAAAAGACTTTTTGGGTGTTTTGTATGGAACCTGTTTTCACTGACTTTTAATGAGCTGAATGT